CTAACAACACTATCCTACCCTACCCTTCTCTCTCCTCCCCTGGCTGACAACACTACCTTAGCATACCCTTAACCCTCTCTCCTGGCTATCATCCTCCCAAATTCTGAAATAAATATGTTAGACCTCACCATTTCCTCCAATATGTCCTGGAAATCACACATCCTTAGTATAACTAAAGCTGCCTCCCGAAAGTTGGGAATGCTGTACAGATGCCGCAGCTACTTCACTCCTGAGTAGTTGCTCTAAGTATATAAGGGATTCATTCGTCCTAACTTGGAGTACTGCTCTCATATCTGGGGTGGCTCTTCTTCTGTCCAACTATTAGATAGGGTGGAATCAAAGGCATTTCGTCTTATTAACTCTCCTCCTTTAGTCGACAATCTCTCTTCCCTTTCTCTTCGCCGCAATGTTGCTTCACTCTCTCTCTCTTTTACAGGTACTTTAACGGGCAATGTTCGGTGGATTTGGAATCCTGTGTACCGCCGGCAAGGCCGTGGGCTCGTGACACTCGTCTTGCCCACGGTGCCCACCGTTTCTTTGTGGACGTCGGTCACACGAGAATAACCCGTTATAGTACCTCCTTCTTTCCTCACACAGCCAAACTGTGGAATGCTCTGCCTTCTTCTGTGTTTCCATGCTCTTACAATCTGTCTCACTTTAAAAAGCTGGTTTTCCGGCATCTTCGTGGTGTAGATTAATACAGTATAACCTTTTTTTCTATATTTCAATTTCTTTCCGTTCTTTTTTTTTTCGCCCCCCAGGCTCCGTTGTGGGTCGTTTGACCTGTGCCCGGGTGGGCTAATTCCCGTAAAAAAAAAATAAAAATATGGCAAGGCAGTCTCAGTCTGACTCCGTGCCTCGTGCCTGGCACACGCTAGTCACACACTTGTATTTCTCCTATCCGTTAATAAATGGACTTCAGTGTTACCCGGTGTTTCCCTACCCATCACTGCTTTCTTCAGGGAACACTTGGAACCTTCACTAAGTCCCGTAAAAAAAAAAAAACTCTCCTTGCTGACAACACCGCCATCATACCCTCATTCCCTCACCTGGCTGACAACACCATAACAATACCCACCTTTCCCTGACTGACAACAAAACTATCATACCCACACCTTCCCTCGCTGACAACACCACTGGCTGACACCACCAATATCACATCCTTCTCTATATATTTCTTGTTCTGTCAGTTCGGATGATGTTTGTTATTATTTACGCACCTGGGGAAGTGGAGGAAAGGTCAGCCAGGGTAAGGTCAGATGATGACTTGCCGGGGGTGGAGGAGAGAGGTCACAGAAGAGAGTGAAGTTCGCCCACTCACTCACTAACTCACTCACAGGTTTTTTATATCCAGCAAAGGAAAACTCTATTCTTAACAAGTATTAACCCGCAGGAAATACCTATATAATAAAATATCAATAAATTATAACCTTAAAATAAAAACTAAAATAAACACCAATTAAATTTATCCATTGTGGTGGTGTTGTCAGTCAGGGGAGGAGGGTAGGGGATGATGTGGTGGTGTTGTCAGTCAGGGGAGGAGGGTAGGGGATGATGTGGTGGTGTTGTCAGCTAGGGGAGGAGGGGATGATGTGGCAGTGTTGTCAGTCAGGGGAGGAGGTAGGGGATGATGTGGTGGTGTTGTCAGTCAGGGGAGGAGGTAGGGGATGATGTGGCGGTGTTGTCAGTCAGGGGGAGGAGGTAGGGGATGATGTGGTGGTGTTGTCAGTCAGGGGGAGGAGGTGAGGGATGATGTGGTGGTGTTGTCAGTCAGGGAGGAGGGTAGGGATGATGTGGCGGTGTTGTCAGTCAGGGGAGGAGGAGGTGGGGATGATGTGGCGGTGTTGTCAGCCAGGGGGAGGAGGGTAGGGGATGATGTGGTGGTGTTGTCAGTCAGGAGGAGGTAGGGATGATGTGGTGGTGGTGTTGTCAGCCAGGGGAAGGAGTAGGGGATGATGTGGCAGTGTTGTTGTCAGCCAGGGAGGAGGGTAGGGGATGATGTGGTGGTGTTGTCCAGTCAGGGAGGAGGTAGGGATGATGTGGTGGTGTTGTCCAGTCCAGGGGAGGAGGTAGGGGATGATGTGGTGGTGTTGTCAGTCAGGAGGAGGTAGGAGGATGATGTGGTGGTGTGTCAGTCAGGAGGGTAGGGGATGATGTGGTGGTGTTGTCAGTCAGGGGAGGAGGGTAGGGGATGATGTGGTGGTGGTGTCATATTCACTAAAACTACACTATCATCTACACTACATCAGCTCCACTATCATTTGCTACAACTACACTATCATCTACACTACAACAGCTACACTATCATATTCACTACAAATACGCTATCATCTACACTACATCAGCTCCACTATCATATTCGCTACAACTACACTATCATCTACACTACATCAGCTACACTATCATATTCACTACAAATACGCTATCATCTACACTACATCAGCTCCACTATCATATTCGCTACAACTACACTATCATATTCACTACAAATGCGCTATCATCTACACTACATCAGCTCCACTATCATATTCGCTACAACTACACTATCATATTCACTACAAATACGCTATCATCTACACTACATCAGCTACACTGTCATCTATGCTATCATTTTCTAAATATAAATACACTATCATATTCACTACATCAACTACACTGTCATCTATGCTATCATATTCACTATAAATACACTATCATCTACACTACATCAACTGCACTATCATATTCACTACAACTACACTGTCATCTACACTACATCAGCTACACTATCATCTACATTGTAAAGGCTTGGACTTTGGGATATAAATCCCTTGCCAGCCTAATCAGGATCTTATAAAAGGAAAGTCAAGAACCATTGGTTTCCAAGGGGTGACAAACAACCGTTACAGATTGACATCTCTTTACTACGAAAATAATCACAATAACTGACACCACTCATACAAATATCAAATAAACAATCACGGGAGTCAAACAATTACGGGAGTCAAACAATTAATGAATATTTCCTACGGCGGCAGCCCGGTGGAATGTTCCGTTGACGAGGTGGTCCGCTCTCAGGGGGAAGGTCCAGGGCAGCTTCCTCACCTGACGCCGGCGTTGGGAGGCGATGTCTTGCCACACACGAGAGACTTCAGGGCACGGATAGGGTGTGGAGGAAGTGGCGATGATGTGGCAGGTGCGGTAGTAGTTGGAGCAGGTGTCCGGAGATTGACAGCTGAATAGTGAAGGACTGGGGAAGCAGCCCACGAACCCCAGGAGCCTCAGATGAGCACACAACCATAATTTGAACGAACAGCGGGGTGCAAGTACAGCTGTGTTGACGGCTGGGTAGTGTCCAGGGCTGTCGGAATTTCCGAATCTTGTTTACCGAACACGCTGATTGGTTCAACTGATCACGTTGTGATTGCTTGCGAGAACATGACGTAATATTACTATTTTCTATAATATAATGTGTGGTGAGGGGTAACGACGATCCCAGATACAGTAATGTGTGGTGAGGGGTAACGAAGATCCCAGATACAGTAATTATATTAGAGTAGTCCTCATACTCAGTGAATTTCATTGTTCCTGTCATTAGTTTTATAAATTTCTGAACAATAAACACCATTCAGTGTGTTATATGAGATCACATTAGATTTGTATTTTATCAATTGTAATTTGTATTACTTTAGTTCTGCTAAAATATCGCTAGTAAAATGTAGGTAAGGTATTTAAATACATCCACAATTTATTTATGTGTATTCTACATGGTATTTTAGCCATGAAAAAGCATATTTCCTATAGTCGGTAATTTACCGACAGTCGGAGCAGTGACGTCACGGCTTACCGACTACGTCATCAATTTACCGATTAACAGACGAAGTACCGGATTTGAACCAATCAGCGTGTTCGATAAACAAGACTCGGAAATTCCGACAGCCCTGATAGTGTCTGATGTGTAACGAAGCAGCAGCTCCTTTCTCACCTCCGTCTACACCCCCCTAGTGGGGCAGCGAACAAGCAAACGAGCTGCGGACAACCATCCTGCTCGTTACCACCCTTACATACACTACATCAACTACACTGTCATCTACACTACATCAACTACACTGTCATCTACATTCCATCAACTACACTGTCATCTACACTACATCAACTACACTGTCATCTTCACTACAACTACACTGTCATCTATACACTACATCAACTACACTGTCACACTGTCATCTCACTACATCAACTACACTGTCATCTACACTACATCAACTACACTGTCATCTATACACTACATCAACTACACTGTCATCTTCACTACATCAACTACACTGTCATCTTCACTACATCAACTACACTGTCATCTACACTACATCAACTACACTGTCATCTTCACTACAACTACACTGTCATCTATACACTACATCAACTACACTGTCATCTTCACTACATCAACTACACTGTCATCTACACTACATCAACTGCACTCTCATCTACACTGTAACTACAGTATCATCTACAGTATCATCTACATTACAGCTACACTATCATGTACACTATATGAACTACACCATCGTCTACACTACACCAGCTACACCATCGTCTACACTACACCAGCTACACCATCGTCTACATAATATCACACATTTACTATAATTATAACCTCTACTGTCATTTATCATATACTGTACCTCTTACTATATTTTACCTCCATTAACAAGACTTGACCTAAGTAAGTTGGTCGTGATTAAGTTAAATTATGAATTATGGGTTTCCTGAAAAAATTCTTTGTATCAACTGCGAGGAAGGTGCGCCGAGTCTTGGGGTGTAAAACTCGTCGTGATGACCCACCAGCCCCAGTGGAGGTCTCGCCTGAAGATCTTACAACTAGTTCACCTCTCCTTTCCAACCACTCCTCCCCTCACTCCTCTCCCCATTCTCCTGATTCCTCCACACCCTCTCCTATGCCCTCCTCCCACTCTCCAATGCCCTCCTCCCACTCTCCTATGCCCTCCTCCCACTCTCCTATGCCCTCCTCCCACTCTCCTGATATCTCCAACCAATTCTCCTTCACCTGGTTAAGCTCTGATGAGTTACAAAAAATTCCTCTCATCACCGTGATCAGAGAGGGTAAATATGGGTTGATTTACCTTGCTGTGTATAACAAGGAATTGGCAGTTATGAAAATGTATATCAAGGAAAACCAAGAATGCTTCCTCAACGAGATGGCAGCACACATATCTCTGAATGGAATTGCAGGAGCACCCCGTCTATACGCAGCGTGTCCTGAGGCCTATGCTCTTCTGCTGGAGTACACAGGGATACCCTTGGAGGACTATTTTAGCTGCTGCACACTAAGAAAAAAACTTGAAGTGCTTATAAAAATTGCCGAACGGCTTGGTGAATTACATAAAAAAAACATTATCCACAATAATTTAAAACCACATAGTATAACCCTGACCTTCCAGGGGGAAGAGCCCATCATCCACCTTATTGATTACAGGGTGGCCTCGGAGACAGGGTGTTTGGAGAAAGGGAACTCCCTGCGCCGCTGTAAAAATCCGGGCTACTGGTTGGCGCCAGAATTCGGTAAGGGCGGTGTTCCCTCTCCCACTACCGATACATATTCTTTTGCACACTTGGTGATTGACGTTAAAAACCAAATATTTCATCCCCTCCTCCAGGAGTGCCTCCGAATGGTTGCAGGTGCCACGTGCGGGTTAAACCCCCTCCACCGCGCCCCATTGCCTGAAGTCATCGGCCTAATTCGTTCGTTCTTGCCTTTATCTGATTGATTCCCGCAATAAATATAATATAAATCTTAATAAAAAGTTATAAAAAAAATTGTTTTTCTTTCAACCTAATAAAAATTAAACAACAAGGTTTTATGGAGTATCCATTGACTACCGAAGTATGGACCACCTGACAGGAGGGTAGATGTCACCCACAGCAGGAGAAGGATGGCCACCATGCTTGAAAGAAATCTAAGTACTGTGTAACTAAACAATAAGCATATATTTTTATGGATATTGTTTTGGCTATAACTTGGCTATGGGCTGATAGATCCCTCAAAGCACGAACAAGCTGTGGTGTGTATACTATTAATCCATTTACAAAAATTGTGACCAAGTCCCAGGTTGTTGATCTGACTTTCTGCCTCATTTACACACAATTGCAGGGTCTCAATTGTTTATTTTCTTTGACACCATAACATATATATCGTTTCTCACTCTTGATTTTTTTTTATTTTTCGATTTATTTATTTTTTATTTTTTTCCGGCTCCCCAAGCCCCGATGTAGGTCGGTGACCTGTGTCTGGGTGGGCTTAATGTAAAAAAAAAAATAAATAAATAAATAAAATATATATATATATATATATATATATATATATATATATATATATATATATATATATATATATATATATATATATATATATATATATATATATATATATATATATATATATATAATTTTTTTCCAAGCAGTCCTGGCAGATGCTTCCTGTGTGCTACCACAGGTCACGTTGACTTCCTGTCTGTTCCTCGACATAGGGACCTCCGCCCAGGGCCGGATTCAGGAGTGGGCAAAGTGGGCAGCTGCCCAGGGGCCTCCACACATTACAATATTTTATTTATTTGTTTATTCATTTGGATTATTTTTATTTTCATTCTTTAAAATTCATGTTTATCTATTCCATCACGTAAAACTATGTTCAGCAAGAAGCGTGATAGAAATTAGGCTAGCTACTCCTTGAAATTCATGAATACCTGGTTTTCCTATGAACCGTATATTTTTAATGAATGCTATTGTTTGTGTTGCTAATAATATATTAAGAATTCCACAAATATATATTGATTAAAAATGAACTGCATGGAATAACGAAATTGAGATTAAAAAAAACGAATAAAATATTTTTTTCATTATCACTTCCATTACGAATGCCAATTGTTCAAATTTCAAAATTTTCCCGGGTGGCTTACAGCGCCCCTCGGAACTCCCAGATGCTTAGGCTCGCTTCACTCGCCACCCCACCCTCTTGGGTAGTAATAATGAGGGGGGCCTCCACAAAGAGGCTGCCCATGGGCCTCCACAGGTCTAAATCCGGCACTGCCTCCGCCTCTTCGGTTCCTCTCGCAAGTCGGCGATGCGGGTTGATGTGGATAATGTCTCGTATTGTAAGTCAGTTCGTTGAATCCCTGGGGAAGTTCCTTTCTTCTACCCACGTTTTGATAAGCTCCAGCGACAATGCCTACATGGACCTGCGCCATTCTAACACCCTTTTACCGTCCTGTTTCATATAGGAGCTGTGGATTATGTTGGAATTAATTGTTAACAGTTGGTCATTCCATGGAACAGAGTGTGGCCAGCGTTCTGTCATTCAACTACAGAAATATGTCGTGCTTATTACAGATCTAAGTCAGGTTGGGAGAATACTGTACTGTAATAAAATTACATTACTGCACCCAGGAAACTCGAGCACGAACATTACAAGGCAAAACAAAATAGTAACTCAATTTAAATTCCAATCAAACATCATAAATGTTATACCTCACAAACATAACAAGAATAATTTATATGTTGAGTTGAATACAGGTCAACCACATAACTAAGGAAATTAACTACCCAGACAACACCACGAGAATTGGGGAGGCACCTTCGACGCACAGCAGTCAGTTAGAGTTGAGGAATAAACGGCAGCGCCGCTGCCGTTTATTCCTCAACTCTATGACGTCATTTTTCCTCACGTTTTCGTTGGGCATTAATGGACATTATAAAGCATGAATTTTAGGTATAACTATTGTAATGTCTTGGCAAACTATAAACATACACATACAAAAACCCTACAACCATATAATATTATAACATAACATGGAAACATTAAACACTAATTGAACAAAAGATATCAAATAGAAGTTAGCGTCCTCTGATTTGGTGTAACATTTATACATCGACCCTGAAATTTCACAGCCTCAGACAAGGCTATTAATGAATTAATAGAGGGAGTTTGCAGAGCGTTTCTGGATTTTGTTTTCATTAAATTCAATTTAGAAAATAGTCTCTCTGCATCTGCATTGGATGCTGGAAGAGACAATACCTGCAAAGCAAGTGTACAAAGGTCCTTAAATTGGGAAACACCTACACCGTCCTTAAGTTCCCCTAGTTTTGCATAAACGTCCACTATGTCACTGCTGTCCTTAATCTCGGGTGGTATAGCAATCACATCTAAGTCTCTCCATTGATCATCTAAAACTTGTATACAGCCACTGTATATGCGGGGCACCGCCTTCACTAAGTCGTCTAAGGATGGCATCTCCTTCCTGGATTTATTATCAATACCCTATTTGATGACAGAAATGAACACATCCATAAAAACTTACTGCCAAACTCAAATCTTTGACGCAATTGCACACAAAGGTTTATCATGAAGAGACGACATCTGAATTGTACATCCTTGACCATATTAGGGAGTTCTCTATATTGTTCATTTTGGCCGAGTATTGTTGCTCCCAAGTATATTTGGCCTACTGGGAGGTGATTTTCTTAATTTCTGGGATCAACTGCATCAAGATTACCAGTTTGGAAAACTTCATGACAAAAATATTCCAAAAGATTCCTGTAAAGCTGACATATACCATCGTGTAACAAATGTATAGTTGGTGACTCTCTGAAACAGTAGATTTAACTTGTTACAATTGGGCAATATGAAATTAAGAAAACTGTCCCTAAGACTCTCTGCTATTTGTTGTACGACCACCAATCTTTCCTCTGATTCTTTTAAAGTAAAAAACATTTTTAGGGGCTGCCACTGCTCTAATACTCTTTCAACTCCCTGGTGGAATGATAACCAGCGGGTCTGATTAACATGCAGAACTTTGTGTAGTTTGACAGTACAGAATGATTGAAATTCCTTAAATACATGTTGTCGTTTAGCAATATGGGAGAAATAAGTATATAAGTGTGATCATGTCTTCACAACGCCGTGGTAGCGTCTTTGCAGCCTCCGAAGCGCATAAGTGAATAGAATGACAAATACATTTCAATATGGTTATACCAGGAATAGTAATACGTAGTCTGCTGCTTACTGAATTGTGTTCTCCCATAATGTTACTAGCGCCGTCAGCAGCAAAGCCAATCAGGTTCTCATGTGGAATTCAGTGTGTTTCTAATGTTTTCATAGTTAAATTATACAATTTTTTCCCCTGTTGACCCTGTAGATGCTTCATCACCATATACATTGATCACCTCTAATAACCCAGATTTAATGCTGTTTGTGGTTGAGTACCAAAATCTTACAGGAACACAGGATGCTTTCATCGTACTAATGTCTGTTGTTTCGTCAACAATAATGGACAATTTACTTTCTCTAAGTTTATCTACTAATCCTCGGTGACACACCGTCCTAACGTCCTCACAACCTCTGTGCATTTTGTTCTTTTCATGTCCATGTCTTGAGCAATTGCAGAATCAGGAAACATCCTCTTCATGAGGTCTACTAAATGATCTGCAGTGGTAAATGGCAAGTTGTGCTCGGCTATAAAGCAAGCAAAAAGAACTGTTGCTACGGCTACTCCATTTGCTGCATAGTTCCCATGGTGGACCGGGATCCTCTCCTGCTGGACCTCCTGTTGTTCCGAGGCCTCATAAACTGAATGCATCTTTGTCGTTTTGTGACGTTTGATGGCTGTCAACTCTGCCCTCACTTCCCTCTTGCATATTTTGCAAAAAGCCCTAGATGGATTGTCTTCAACACAGGACAACCAGGGCCGGAAATCTTCATTGTTCAGCCATGCATCTCTATAGCTCCGCTTCGCAGCCATCACCACCTGCAATAGGAGATTTGATCAACTTTTGTGTAGTCTCCCCTGCAAACCTAAGAATAAATAAATCAATGAATAATTGCCATGATCGTTCTAGTCCACTTGCATAGTCCTTTATAAGTGCACAGGAAAATAATGTATATTTGGCCCTTTGGAAAAATAAAAGCAACAAATGAACAGGGTGTAAAGATTTCATTTATCTAATCATTTCTGTTGACACACTGATAAAAGAAAACGGTTAAGGTGTAAGTAACTGCTACATAGGTGATGAAAGCTGTGATTAATTACATGCCAATTACATAAATAAATATATCCTTACCGGCTTGTAGATAGAGTTTTGTGAGTACGTCTAGCTGATGATACCTGGCTGATGATGAGAACTCTTACCATATCCACGGACGAGAACAAGGTGGGGTTTCCACAGCAATCGAGGGTCCCATGTTGATTTTCCACGTCATTTATTACCCACAGTCCATTTATACTATACATTATCTGTTGATATTTACTAAAGGAGTTGATAAAAAAAGTCATATATATTACTGAAGAAAAAATTATTAAGTCCTTTACATTTTATA